ATGCAAAGTAAGATCCAATTTGAATAATGTATTTTTGCACATTCATGTCAGTAAATTAGCAACTGAAAAAGGGCTTTAGTAGGTTTGTGTGCCCTTTTACCGCACCTATTCAAATTTTCATGTACCCTTCGCGTGTTTAACGGACTATGTTAATATAAAAATTTCATTGTACATTTTTAATTAAGTTATCACATAATTATAGTACAATGCATTAAATAGAAACGAAAATGCACCATAAACTAATTAAGCTTTTAAAAATATCGAATAGAAATGTAATAACTCTGTGCATTATATTAAAACATATTAAGTAGGGTTTTGAAATTCACATTATGTTTAATGTAACTTATGCCCGATTTCACCAACGACCCCTAAACAATCACATAGTTAGAGGATCCTTAAGCTAAAGAGTCCCCTAAACTATCCCTTAACTAAATTTGCTTTTCACCGATGCAACAGGCCCCTAACTAGTGGACCGCTCCATATGTGACACATTTTTTACAACTGAATTTTAATCACCGATTTCATCGTATATTTTTATTTTTAAGTAAAATAATTTTTCATTTTTTAAGGAAGAAAGAAAGAAGAAAGTTTTATGTTATAATAACTCCATTTTCCAACAATTATGTAAAAAAAAATCATAAAATTTTTAATTTCCCTTACTAAGCGTAGTTTTATTTGTGATTTAATGGTGTTTGTTTGATTTGGTCACTAGACGCAATTTCGACTCAACGTAATCGAAACTATTTCTACTATTTGAATCATTTTTGAGTAAAAGTGTTCTGTGATTTAAATATAATTTAATTAGCGACGTAGTTAGTAATGTCTAAAAAGAACACGGGCCGACAAAAGTTAATTGTAAAATAGAGATGCGCGTAATAAGAAGATAATAATTATGAATTAACTTTTAGCTGTGGGAATATTTATGCGGCCATTACACGTCCTAAATTTAGCGGACCGTTTAGTCACTAAGTGACCCCTAAATATTGGTGAAAAGGAAACGGTCCCCTAGCGGACCTCTAAGTTTGCTAAATGCCCTAAACCTTACGGTTCGTTGGAGAAATCGGGCATTAGATGCATTATATAGTATTTTGATCAAAGTCAAATAAATACTAAAAGACCTTGTTTATTTCAAAATCTCGTCTTATTAGCGTCTACTTGTATTGAGTTCTAAATTATTTACTCCAATCTTTTAACTTATCCATTTGGAAAACGATCAAGTAGCTAATATCTTTGTTTCATGACTTTTATTAACTACTAGCGACCCTTCCCGGCTTCGCACTGATTATACTGGCTGGGTACTGATTATATTCATTACACAATCGCTAGCACTATCGTTCGTATTCCGTGTCACATTCAGCAACACGGGTTTCTGATTCTGCGGCAGAGCCCGTCCCTGGTCTCTATTAAAATTAGCCCGGCGTTCGATTTTGACGGCTTCTAAGAGCTTCCGTGACACGAAGTTATTTTCACGGGCTAACACTTTCACTTATCGAACCTGATGTAATGTGAGCAGTCGGAGTTAAGGGCGTACTCGCCGAGGTGTTGATGTGCATTTTGATACCGCGGACGTGTTAGGTGAGTCTAGTACTTATATTGCATCCCATTTCTCCAATATAGCTTTTGCCGCAGTCGCATGGGATTTCGTAAACGCCAGGGCTTTCTAGAGGGTCCCAGACATAAGAACACACACACACACACACACACACACACTTTTTTTGGTTATCTTTAACTTTGTAACGTTAACAATACATATTTTATCAAAATATTATATAAAGTTAAAATTTGTTTATCATTTAAAATGAAAAAACGATTTTATTTCGTTTCAGTTAATGATCAAATGGAAACATAGCTTTCGAGAAAGCAATACAACGAAATCGCCCCAACACATCAATCATTCGCGCACAGATTTCATTTTGAATACAATTTGTCAATGCAACGAGTGAGCTGACAATGTTTTGACTGAATAATAAATTACTTATTTTATATCTTTTAATTCCCCACAATTCGCTGGTCACAAATAAAATATTTGATGGCTGTTGAAACATCTTACAGGGGGATACAATTTTGAAAATAATTTTATTGTGTTCTTAAATTCGATGGCATTATTTATGATTGTTGTCAATATTAATAATATTTATGTCCGACTAACATATTCTGTATCAGTCTCTCTGCAATTCGTTATTGCAACTTTCATATAAATGCGATTTCGTTGTTTATTGTATAAAATTATATTGTGGAATGAAACACTAAACGCAGCGTTTCTAATATTATGGTTATATAATAATATATGGAAAAAGTTATATACAAGTTAGGTATACTTTAAGTATAGCATCCCACTTTTAGTGCTTATGTTTTGATATTATAAACAAGCCTAATTTGAGAATATACCATAATAAAAACATATAACTCATCATTAAATGTAAACGTAATCAAAAAAATCATAAAATAAAATTGGGTTTTAGATTTTTATTCTATTTTTATATCTTATTGAAAATGTAACAAAAATACAAAAAAAAACGTAAAAAGTGAGGTACTACCTTAAATTCCATAGTTCATACGATCCTATAATCGATTCTATTAAATCCAGAGCCAAGCACACCACTTATTATGACGCAGCATTTTGTGCACAGATTAGGAAAAAAAAGTAAAGTAACAGCCTATACATGTCCCACTGCTGGGCAAAGGCCTCCTCTATAGAGAGGGTATCAGGGCATAGTCGACCACGCGGCCCCACTGCGGGTTGGCAGACTTCACATATCTTCGAAATATATTTTTTTTGTTATTATTTCGAAAATATGCAGGTTTCCTCACGATGTTTTCCTTCACCGCGGAGCACGTGATAAGTCAGCACTTAAAGTTAAAAACTTCATTGGTGCCGGCACCGGGGATCGAACTCAGGTTGCTCGAGTATATTGAATTAAAGGCGAGCGCCCGGACACTGAGCTATCACGGCTCGCAGATTAGGATAAACTTAATAATTTTAAAACTATTTCAAATAGAATGTTGAACATCTCTCCATATGTGCTTCAAAGTATTCATACGTTGAATCTCAAAAATTTATACGAATATTTATTATTACTGTATTAATAGCCACTTTTTACAATTTTACTAAAGGACAAGTTTTGAAATGAAACTCATTTTACAAATGAATTAAGTCCTCATATGACTTTGCAAGGATTAAAAGAGTAATTTGAAATGCAGAACCACCATCAGCATTTAAAATAAAATCACCTAAAATTTTGACATGCATTTTAAAGCGGAAAACGGTTTGTGTAATAAAGCTTAACTCATTTACTTGCGACGGCATCTAATTTTAAATGCTCAAAGAATAGCCAAAATGAAAAAGTTTTTTACATTTTCATTTCTATTATATAAATCTTATCTTGATATCACCAAATTTGGGACAAGATATATCGCTCAATAATTAACTATTTCGGGAATGTAACAAACAGTTTTCACAGGCAAAATACAACTCATCATTGAAACGCCTTTCTAATACGGAGATTATTCTTTTCGAACTTATAATTTTTGGCACCCTATAAAGGCTTTTTTTGGAAAATGTGTTGTCAACTTATAATTGAAAACGTATACATGGTAAATATATGAATAAAAGACTCCATTATAATATACTCATCGTTATTGAAAATGTCAACAATATTACATCTATTAAATAATATGCGAATATCTCATTAGCAACGATTTTTAAGCTTTTAGGTTAGAATAACAACATATTTTAACCACAAAGCAATTTAGTCAAGGTTTTATGCAAATGTTATTGTAACACAAGTTTAAATGGCCACATTATGTTGGGTTACGAAAGGAAATTATTCTAATAGGTTTGATATTCGTTACATTTTAATTCGAACAGGCATTTGTATACCAAAAATGCAAAACATGAATGAAATTAATCATTATACAAGGTGATCTTACAAGTTTTAACTGAAAATTAAAAATGATGATAATATATCCACTTTTGTGCTTTTGCTTATGCACATACATTTACCCAATTACTTGTGCTAAATACCAACATTGCTTTTGATTTTACAAATTATAATTCTCGAGTTTTCATCATTCTTTATTAAAAATTCTTCGAAATTATGCACACTTTTTTGTAGCACTTGCTTTCAAGAGAAACCCGTCTTGTCAGATTCCCTTTTTGCCCTATAGCACTTATAACATGGGCTACCGTCAGCTTTTAAATTGTAAATTTTAGTCCGATCAGTGTATAAAGTGTCCACTCTTTTTTATTGTCTTACACGTACCAAGCGATAATTTTGATAATATACAGTTATTTAAAAAAATATATGTAGCGGCATAATATTATATAATATTATTTTTATTTATTGAAATGAAATTTTGTACACAAATCCTACTTTTTACTGATTTTAATGATAAAATTGTTATACAGTACACATTGCGTCTATAGAATCATCGATTCCAGCTGGTGCACAATTTCAGTACTTTTTCGAATGATACTGGATGAATGGAGGGATGAATCGTTGGAGATAAAATGCGATAGAATTATAACTGACTTGGGTATTCTTCCACTCGTTTATAGAATAGATGTGATGTGCACAAAAGAAATTCGCTTTCATCCCATAAATCAAACCGTTTCTCTGTATTTACATTAGCTAAAATATTTACATATGATAGGGGCGGGCATATTATGAAGGTAGCAGATTTAAGACATATAGCGGGTCAAAATATTTATCAGTATTTGAATGAAAGCACGCGATTTCCCGATTTTATAAGGTCAAATCAATTGTAGATCACTTTTCATCAACTGTGAATCTATTGTGATCGGCAAAATTGTAACCCTTAATTTTAATTTTCTCAAGAATTATTAATAAATGTCTTAAGTGATTATATCTTGTACAAGTATTAGCAGTTCCCCTATGTGCTCTTCTCAATGTAACCTCAAAATTTGCTGACCTTATCACAGCATATAATCGCTTTAATTACACCTCTCAAAAATATCAACATAACATTGTCACGAATTAGAAGGTTTGGAGTATAACGTCGAGCACCTTTAAGAAGCGGAACTTCGATCTTTCGTCTAAACTGTTCTAGAAGCGAGTGGAATTTCGGTCGTCTCTTTAATAGAAAGTTCCGATCTAGGAAATTTTTTTTACTCTACTGTTAGGAAATAGAAACGATGATTGATTTTTTTTAAAAAGAATTTATTGGCCAGTATGCCAAACTACATAGAAGTTTGATAATGATTGTAAGTAACTGACACAATCGTTATTAATTCGGGTAGAGCTTCCGCACTCTACAACGGCTGACAAGAAAGTCTCCTGACACCGTAAGTGGGTTCGGGTTAAAGTGACCCGACACGTAGCGATCCTCGGGGACCATCCCCATTGATCAGGCTGTATCTCGGTTAGCAGAAGGCTAACCGGTGGTGACTCCTTCTGTAAAAAGAAAGCTCATCCCTTACCGCGGTTGCGGTGTTAGTGGGCAGAAATGTTAGTAGAAACTTACTAAACTACGTAGGGGGACGGAGAGGACTCTACCTACGGGGTTTAGGGAATGGGATAGGTATGGGACCTAACTACGTGGGCTAGGATTGAGTGGTAGGGGGGGGGGGGGGGGGGGGGGGCACGGACCTGCCGGCGACTCAGGCTCCCCCTGAGCCTGAGTCGCCGGCACGATCCAGCGACACGATCCCCCTTTTGGGAAGCTGCTTGATGGCCAAGGTGGTGATGCCATCTAATCCCGGGGCTTTCCGGTTGGGGAGTCTGCTAACGGCCCTTCGTACCTCAGCCGGCGTGATGAACAAGTCACCTGCCAGCTGAGGCACTGGCAAAGATAAAAACTCCTGTACACTCTCTTCTACCTGGAGGTGGAAGGGGAGGGCTTCTGGAGTGGATGGATTGGGAACGAATTGAGACTCTAAGTGCTGTGCAAAGACGTCGGCCCGGTCCTGGGCTGCCACGGCCCTTCTCCCGTCGCTCCCGAGAAGCGGGCACGCGGGTTGTGAAATACGGGCGAGCTGCCGATTGAGGTGGTGTAGCGAGGTCATAGATTCTGAGGCTCGTTCCGTCCTCTCCTCCCACAAAACACCACGGAAGTTCTTAATCTCAATCGACAGCTCCTCCGTCAGCTTATTAAGTTTGGACTTTACCTGTGGACACCTAGTGCGGGCCCAAAGTTTCCGAAGTTGCCTCTTTTCCCGAATCCGGCTGAGTAATCTATTGGGGAGCGCGTCCTTCCGGTTTGTATATCTCACCTCCGTCGTCGTCGCCTGCAGCTCCTCCTGCATCTTGCAGCAGATGCTGCGGGCGGCGACCTCCACATCGTCCGGTGATGAGATAGGCGCGCCGTACTGGAAGTTGGCCATCGCTCTCCCATAGGCCACCCAGTCGGTTCTGAACTTGGGGCACCTCGGAACCAAAGAGTCCGCACCGATGCCCACGGTTACTAATAAAGGAAGATGATTAGTATCGGCATCGTAAATTACCTGTATGGGACGCGACATCTTATGACACAGCACTATGTCCAAGACGTCGGGAAGATGATTCGGGGCGGGTGGGATATGTGTTGGCTCGTTCGGACCGAGCACTTCATACCCATTCGCCCCTGAGTCATCACAGAGCGCTCTGCCTGAGGGAGAGATGATGCGCGATGTTTGGCCCCACGCCGGATGTTTGGCGTTTAGGTCCCGAGCTATAAGAGTGGAGACTTCTGAGTTAAAAATACTGCGGATATCCGCGCTATGGAATTTAGTGGTTGGGGGCCGGTACGCCGCAAAAATGCGCATCTCCCGCCCGCCGATGAAAACGGCTACGCCAATGGAGCGTGTACTGACAAAACTGCCCAGCCCCAACTCGTCGTGCATTAGGTCGCTCCTGACAAGAACGGCAACGCCCCTAAACGGGCGACCGGAGTCAGGATTGACGTCAAAACGATGCACGGCGAAGTTGGGGATGCGCAGCGTGTCAGTAGCCGTGAGCTTAGTCTCGCCAAGCAGCCTGACGAGATTTTTAAGCTCGGCTATGCGCCCCCTGATGCCGCCGGGATTCCAATAAAGGATTTTAAGGTGGAGGGGGGTCTCTGCGAACCGCGGTTAAGGATGAGATGGCGGATGATACCGCCTCCAAAGGGTCATTGCCTACGGCAATAGAGATAAGGACGTCACCAAGAATGCCGGTGATCAGCCTGATCAAATGAGAGATGGCCCCCTCGATTCGCTGAGCCGTTTGTGTGTGGTCGGCTGCGGTTGAGGGGGTTTTTCCCTGTGGGAGAAGAAAATTTAGAGGCCGCTCGGACGGCTGAGTGAAGTGGGTGGCTTGGCTGCCTATAGTTGCAGCCGGTGCCTGCCTTCGGGAGGCTGACGAGGTGGGTTGAGAGGGGGCGGGTGGTAAAGGCGTTGACGCTGCGGCTGCCGCTGGCTGCTGGGTGACGCTCTTCTTCTTTTTCACCCTCCTCCTCTTCTTCTTGGCGGCAGTTTCCTGCCGCGGTGTGGGCTCGTTGGCTGGAGCCATTAGGTGGGCTGGAGCTGCAGGTTCGTGCAGCTCCACGGTAGGTTGATGCTGAGTTGGGCGGGGTGCTTCTTGGGCACCGACTTGTCGCTCCTCAGTTGGCCGCGCCGTCGTGCTCGGTGCGGTGGGTGGGTATGGTGGGGGGAGTTTAATCCCCTTCTTCTTGGCCACCCTTTGCAGGATGGCACATTTAGGGTCGTTGGCCGAGTGGGCCTTGGCGCAGTAGGCGCATTTAGGTTTTTTGCCCTTGTTGAGGCAGTCAGGCCTGCGAGGTGCTCACCTGAGCACCGAACGCACCGCAGTGGTCGGTGACAGTTGGTGGAGGAGTGTCCGAAGGCCTGGCACCGGTGACACTGTGCCGGGCCTCCTCTACCATGCCAGGCTTCGATGGTAATGCCTGGCATGTTGAGCACCTCGTTGACCGCATAAAGTTGGGCCAGCTGCTCTTTGCTCAGATGGTCGAGCTTTAGGAAGAACAGGGCGCCCGGTCTGCCTCTTCTGGGCTGGATTGCCCTGGAGTAGGTGGCCGGGAAGCCCTTTTGACAGAAGTCAGCGACCACTTCCTCCGGTGATGTGTTGGCCGGAAGGCCGCGTATGCCCACTTTCGTGGGTAGGTCGTCCGTGGGCGTGTAGCAATACCACACAAATGTTGAGTCCTTTTGTGACTCCTCCACTAGGTACCGCTGGATGATGCGGCATTCGGATGCTGATTGGGGCCGAAACCTCATACCACGCCCAAAATATCGGGCGTTCGGGGCGTGGCCGAGCTGTTTTTTCAGCTCGGCGAAGTGCTTCGTCCAGTCGGGGAAGCACTCAACTATGATAGGAGGGTAGCCCTTGGCGTCCTCCTCCATTGGTTTGGGCGTGGGTGTGGGCTGCGTGGGCTGCGTAGAGGTACCGGATGTGGCGGCGCTCGGAGATAGTGGAGCGGACGTCATGAATGCGTAGCTCGGCGGCGGTACGGCAGGACTGGACCGTTCCCCCACCTCGGGGGCCAACGTCGCATATGACGTTGAATCGGCCGCAGCCCCGCTACTTTCCGTGCCGATATATTGCCGCATAGACGTGCCACTCGTGCTGGGCCCCGGCTGCGGTTCATCGTCCGGGGAAAGTAGTGGTTCGTCGTGGACGAGCATCGCGGCCGGAGGGGCGGCGGCGCTGTCCATTGGTTGCGCAGGGGTCGGGCCCCGCCTGGGAATCTTTTCCTCCCGATCTGAATCGTCGGGGGAAGTGCGAGGTTTAGCGCTCTTCGGCGGGCGCGGTTGCAACGGAGTGGTGGTGATGAGCCTGGCGTGTAATCGCGCCGACTCATCAGCCGTGGTCGCAACGCGCTCCGCCTGGCGCTGAGTAACGGGTCTTTTACTCACCTCGGGCTCGTTCTCGTGCTCGGGGGCAGATGTGCTGCGGACTCTCGCGTGCCGCGCCTGCGCCTTAGCCTTAACGGGCTTGGGCGCGGTCTTCGACGTGGAAGTCGACGGACGCGGGATTTTTCCCTTGTCCGCCATAGTGCACTGACTCTACACTGGTTTAAAATATGCACTTTTGTGCTAGTGTCCCGGTGGAATGTCTTTGTTCTTCCTTTGCACCATATTCGGCCCCTTTTATAATAAAAGGGGCGCGAATATCGATTAAAACTGGTTAAAAACTGCGACGATCACTTTACGCGCACAAACACTGAATTTAAAAACTGTTCTATAAAGCGTCCAGTCGCATAGACTGTACACGCCGCTAATGTCTAGCCACTCGACGTCGCGGAGCGGAGCTCAACGCAGGACGGAGGTTTGGCGTCGACTGCCAGCGAGTGTGCTTACTAGAAGCCCCACTACTAGCCGTAGCGTGCACAGGTGTGCCGGTGAGTCACTAGGCAGGTGTTTTCCGTAGCAGGTGTCGCTTCGTAAAACTCTCCTGACACGACGAGCGCAGCTCCGTTTATAGGCCGCCGCAGTGCGCTACTACCCTCCTATCTTCTAACACTACAATAATAATTTTAATTAAATCAAGTATTTCATAAAAAAAACTGTCATAACGGCATTGACGTGGCACGCAAAGTATAATTAAGTGAATATAAATCAAAAATTATTGAAAACGTATTTTGTTTACATTTGAGTGTTTACAATGTATACATAATTATATGTGAATATTTTAAAGGGATATTCGTGGATCCATTCTACTAGTCACATATATAAAAAGTCGACATCATAAAGTTATTTGCCCAAAAAACAATGGGGAATTCAAGGAAGTCAGAACATAATATTTGCCTCACAATGCAACGGAATAAGCCATGATCTGCTTCCGCGAAGTTAACTGCAGTGTAAAGTCAAATAATACAAAGACAAATACAAAAGTAGTAAAACGTTTTGTATTTTTTAATGTTACAGTAAATTTTATTAATTTTGTTTCTTACACGGCACCAATGAAGTTTTTAACTTTAAGTGCTGACTTATCACGTGCTCCGCGGTGAAGGAAAACATCGTGAGGAAACCTGCATATTTTCGAAATAATAACAAAAAAATATATATTTCGAAGATGTGTGAAGTCCGCCAATCCGCAGTGGGGCCGCGTGGTGGACTATGCCCTGATACCCTCTGTATAGAGGAGGCCTTTGCCCAGCAGTGGGACATGTACAGGCTGTTACTTACTTACTTACTTACTTGTTTCTTACAACGAGAATCTAACATGAAATTATTCTTGTAAATGATGTCTGTCCCATTTTCCACGGCCACATTCCGGAGTCAGGATATTTTATTCCTATTCCGCTATTGTAGTAAAAAATTGTAACCATTGTTAGTTCGGTCCATTAAAATCCGAGATATCGTGTATTAAAAATTGACATTTCAAAAATCGTGTATTAAAAATTAACTGATTCAAAAAACTCTACATTAAATAAATGTAATTACAAGTGCCATAAAGTAGGATACTTTAATGTTTTGAAAAAGTTGGTAGAAAAAAATTTTAACCACCATTTTAGGCTATAACATTGTTTTTTTATAAGAAAATGTATAAAGAGTAAAGATTAGGGTTAGAATGATAAGATTTATGTTAAATATAAAACAACGCTGTAAAAACATTTGTAAAAACAAGGCTGGGATCATGATTGATTAAAGTCATTTCAGTTCATTAATCTCGCTCATCAACTGACATGACGGGGTATTTCCTGTGAATAATCCTTATCGTATTGTCTTCCGCCTTGTTCTTTATTAAATTTAGCAGCCATGGATAAATGTTATAGAATTATTTAAAAAACTATGGGTAAAGAATGAGTAGTAACAATATATTTTCAGGAAAATATTTCAGAACCAATGTTTATGAGTAGATCTCTTCACGGGTCTTTTGGAGGTATTTTATTCAAATCTTCGTCAAATTCAATCGAGGACCATTTTAAAACTAACTGCTATCTTTTTATTTTTATATCAAATTGACTCAGATTGATTTGTGAATGTTTAAGATTAATTTGTTCAATATAAATTAAATCCAATTTTAATTGCATCTAACCAAATATTAAATTTTGTGTTTTCAGTCAAGTTTAATAATTTTATTTTTTTTCATCAGTGCGTTCATTACGCAAGTAATTTTTTTTTTTATTTTAAATTCAAATTGTATTAAATGTTTGTACTTGTAATATTACTTTTATATTTAATTTTATATGGTTTCATGAATGCTTTCTTTTTTTTAATTAAACATATATATATTTTGGGCAGCGGATGGATGCGTGCTGCCCAGGACCGGGACAGTTGGCGCACTTTGGGGGAGGTTTACCTTCAGCAGTTATTTTATTTTATTTTATTTTATTTTATGCAAAAAGTTGTCAAACGAGCAGACGGTTCACCTGATGTTAAGAGAATACCGCCCACTCATGGACATCTGCCACACCTGAAGGTTACAGATGCGTTGACAACCTTTTGATAATTGGGTTCCGGCTACCTCACTCACCAGACGAAACGCGAAAGTATTTGTTACACTTCCACTTTACCCGGATGAGCCTGCCCATTCGTGCAACCCGAGGCTGCAGCGTGGCCCTACCACCGTTAAATTAGTTATTTGACGGAAATAGGATGATATTGATTGATTGATTGATATATATTTCAGCTCTTTAAAGTAATGCCTCGAAGAAAATCTAAATTTGGTATACGTACTCGTGGAGCGAAACAGTGCGATGAGTAATTTCAAATCAAAGTGTGGAGGAACGGGCATTAGCAAATGAGCAAAATAAAGAGTAGCTCAAATACGTGCCGAGGAAGTATTAGAGCGATGTGCAGTAAGACTTAAGAATGCACAGTTAAGAGCCAAGCGATAGAATTTTGCAACAATGTTGACAGGACTTTTTGGATGTGAAGATATTCCTATTCCTCGAATTCTATGATTTCAATCGATATTGTATGTATTAGATTGTCCTGAACTTTTGACACGTATCAATTTAGCAGCTCCTCTAGATCAAAACGATATAAAGTCAGAAAAAATTTTGTAACTCACCGATCTAAAACGAATCTTGGCAATAACTTATGCCTAAAACGTTTGTCAAAATCTTATAATAAGCTGTGTGGTACTTACATAACCATAGACATTTTTAATGATAGTATAGATAAGTTTAAGAGAAATTTGTCCGTTTATAGTTTTTTTTATTTAAATAGTGTAAATTTCTTCTTCTTCATCTCTACGAAATTTATTTTTGTTATTTTGTTAAAATACTGTTATTATTTTTTTTCATCAACTACTGTACTAACCCTTTGTTAGCATTTAATATAATTTAATAATTTTTTTAGCTGTTGTCAATATAAAAACTTTTGTATGTCGTTTCACCTGTAATTGAGATATCATTTAGTTTAAGATACTATGTACTTATTTATGTTCTAAGCATGTTTTGATGTGTATCTTGTTGGTGAAGTAAATAAATAAAATAAAATAAAAATAGATAGAAAGAGATACGCTCTTTCATTTTAAGAGATTGCAATTCCCAATTAGATTTTAGCGTTTTCAGTTACCATTAATAAATTCCAAGGTTAATCTTTAAAATTAATTGGATTTGATCTACAAAGTCATATAGAAGCATTAGATGTTATCTAGAATTTAATTTAAGTTATCACAGATATTTAAGTTATCACAGATAAAGACATTTACAATTATCTTTTGGAAAATGTGGAGATACGTCTATTGACAATTTGTTTAAATGAAAAATAGGTAAGTACATTGCAAAACGTTATTCCTCAGAACAAGACACCTTTCATTGATAGATACATTTTGGTGATTGATCACGGTAATATGCAAAAATTTCGCACGGGTAAAGTACTAAAATGTTTTTGGCAACAATTAACATAATACGAAATTCCCAAAATCCAAAAGATGGTGGTATAGAATCTTAATGTGCGAATGGCATTAACTCTTAACTTATCTTGCAGATTTTCAATAAAAAAACTAATAATAATGTGTTACACCCATAATAATATTTTGGTGGTACACTTTATGAATTTTCTTAACAGATCAGTAATTGCGCAATAATGAGAGCTTTTCGTAGTATGAAATAGTTGAACAATAATAAGGTGAGAAAATTACAGATTTCACTAAACGATTGGGATAGTTTTCTTGTAAACTATTTATTATTTGTTTTAGGTTTATAATCTTAATTATGTTACATATAATCAAAACAGATATTTGACTTTATATTTTAAATTTAAATTAACTTTTACTAACTTAAATTTCATTTTTTTAATGTAAAAATTTAAGATAAACTCTTAAATTTTAAATATTAAATACTTTAAATTATATTTTATAGATGCAAAGTTATTTTTGTAGATTCTGTTTCCGTTAAAAATTTATCTGTGACAAATTTTATAACATTCTGAAACTTAAGCTGTCACTTAAAAGTTTGTCGAGGCTAAGAGAAGTGAAATTAATGATATTCAATACAAATTTTCAACTTTGTTAAGTCATGCTTGAGATTTAAGCAATAATGTTAATAAATCATTTCAAGTTGATCAATCATTTAGTTAATAAGAAATTCATTTTGAAACTGAAACTTTTATTTGTGTCGACACATCTCTAGATTTCATTAATTTTCACAAAATATTAATATAAATATTAATTTACTAATTAATAAAATTTATTTAATATAATTATAAAGGTAAACATTATAAACTATTTTGTGGTAGCTTTCGCTACGCTGCCACGAGATGCTGGAATAATATACCACCTCCAGTAAAAAACTGCACAACAGTCAATATTTTTAAAATAAAACTTAAAGAACATCTGCTTAAGGTGCAAAAGCAACAGGGCAAAATACTTGTGTGTTTTTATATAGTGTACATAGCTTATGTATTTTTGACTGGCGACTTTGATGTTTTCGTAAAGCAACATTTAGATGTTCGCATTGTTTTTGTTTTATTTTTCTTTTTGGTAGGTAAGATTTTTTTTCTGTTCACCGCTTCATATTATTATAGATGTAATTTTTTATTAGTAGTTATTATATTTTTAAGCTTGAATGAATGTACCCGCTTTGCATTAATCTTAATCT